GGGATCCGAACCCGTGGCCTTGGTGTTATCAGCACCGCACTCTCCCGAGTGAGCCACGGGCCGGCCTGAGAAAGAAGTTTGGCCACTAAATCACCCTGAACCCATGAGTGAAGAAACAGAGTCTGTTTTGTCCACTGTCACGTCCCTGTGCCTAGTACTATGTGTGAGATGAAGGAAGTGCTCAAAAAGTATCTGCTAATTAAAGTGAAAGACTACATTAAAGCCTATATAAATTCCAAAAATAAATCCATTTTAGAACTATGAGCCTTAGAAATCATGGAAACCCAAAGCAGTGATCTCGTTTTCAAGATGAAGAGGGGCTTAGGTCCTACACTGGATGAGGGACAGAGAAAGCAGGGGCTAAAAACGAGAACTCTGAGTTCCAGTCAAATTCTCTTTTAATTCTGCCATTCTTTGTTTATAATAAAACATTAAACAAATATCCATTGACAGAACCTCAATGTAGACAGTATCCTTAAATTCTTGTTTGAATTCAAGCCTCATTAATTCTGTTTTTAATTAAATAAATGAGATACATATAGTTTTAAAGCTAAAAAAGAAAGAAAAAAAGGGAATCCCCCCCACTTTTCATCATCGCCTGCATTTTCTGTGCCACTTCACCCAGTCATCAGAGGTGTGACATCAGCAACATGTTGGAGCCAGAGGCTCCTGACCCTCCCTCCACCCACAGATGCTCTGAGTAAACATCTACATATGGCTCAATTCTCTCTGAGAGAAAGTCAGAAATGAGTTGAGAGACTCCTATGTAACAAGTAACTGAGAAAATATCTGCACCAAACAGGTAGGAGAAGCTGAGGCACACTTGGGAACAAACCCCAGCTGGGCACTGCACCATACAATCAGGGAAAAGAATCCCCAATACCCATAACTAAGATTTCCCATGATTTGCCTTTTAATTCACCTAGCTTTGTGATTAGATGGGGCTAGGCACACTTGAGTCTCCCTATACCACAGAACTAAATGGCAGTTTTTTTGTTTTTTTTTTTCCAAAAAAGATGACCGGCAAGGGGATCCTAACCCTTGACTTGGTGTTGTCAGCACCACACTCTCCCAAGTGAGCTAACCGGCCATCCATATATGGGATCAGAACCAGTGGCCTTGGTGTTATCAGCACCATGCTCTCCCAAGTGAGCCACGGGCCAGCCCTAAATGGCAGTTTTATATGGGTGCTCAAGCACTTCCGGGAGTTCACTCCCTGGGATCAGAACAGAGAAGAGGCTAAACCTCAAGGCTCTCAGTTTCCGCCTGGCAGGGGTTTGCCAGTCCAGTATACTCTTCCAACTGCTGCTGCTGACAGTCGCATTTCTTTTTTTTTTTTTTTTTAAAAGATGACCAGTAAGGGGATCTCAACCCTTGGCTTGGTGTTATCAGCACCACGCTCTCCCAAGTGAGCTAACCGGCCATGCCTATATGGGATCTGAACCCGTGGCCTTGGTGTTATCAGCACCATGCTCTCCCAAGTGAGCCACGGGCCATGCCTATATGGGATCTGAACCCGTGG